GCTTTCTTTAGACAAATGGAGTCAACTGACTTAAATGTTATTGTAAGTTTATCAAGAGTTAACTTTAAATAAGAAACAGCAATTAATCCTCTACATCACTAAGAATGTGTAGACTATTGTTTTAAATAAAAATTCAGGTTCCATGTGTTTACTAGACTTATTTAGCAAGTTGAGCTATTACATATAAAGAAAACTTTCAATACACGTTATTAACTTATACATTTAAATTTTTTTGATAATCTTATTCTTGTTTTTTTTTTAAATAGTCCCGCTTCAGAAGAATGATGTGTATGCCTATAGAGCCAAAATAATTTAGCATATGTCTTCTTATAATCACCAAAGGGGCACTTACTAAAAAGTACTAAATCACATAAAGGCGGACCGCTGTCTCTGTCCCTCGTAGTGATGGCTTTCTCAGCCTTAGCAGAGAATAGCTTCGCTCTGTGTACTCTTGACTTGGAAATATCATCACCCAGACGAGGATACGAACTCGACTGTGGGTTCTGCACATAAAATGCTGAACACAAGCCAGTGTGGGTGATCAAAGGTCCCGCACACGCACCAGTCATCTCTGTTTACACACACTGGTGCGTGGAAAAGCACATCATTTTACCTTAAATCAGAAATTAGTCTTGAAAACATAAACACGATTCACGTGCTCAATTTACTTCATCATTACTGAGCTTTAATGATGCCAGATTTTAGTCAGAGTAGAAGGCTATGCAGACTTTTCTGGAAGATTTCACCTTAGGCAGAAACAAAAAACGTGCACTTCTAAGTCATGAGCGAGTCTACTAACCTTTTTTGACAGGATGTAAGTCTTAAATTGTCTACGCACAGCCAATTAGGTATGAAATGGCTTTATACGGACATACAGTATATATGCAGGTAAGAGAGAGGCGATGCCATTTCTGTTACAAAGGGTCCCTGCTATTGAATGTTCTATGCTGATTCTGCCAAACTATCTTTTGGTCAGAGGTTAAAATCAGACAATTAGAAAATTACAAAATTAGATTCAAAAGTGATCAAAAAAAGTGATAAGAAAACCAAGTACACTATAGGGCTGTAGTCATGTTGTTTAAGTCCCACTGATTCTCACTATTTTTTTCACTTCTGGTCAATGCACCTGCACTTCCAACAGCCCGTAACTGTAACTGGTAGCCAGGAGCCACTTTCCTGTACATGGCCTACACCGGGTGATAAGAAAGTTTCCTTACCTGGTTCTCATACTGCTTGGAAGGGGTTACAACCAGCCAAGTGTGTTGTCTATACATACCCTCCCAGGGCTCCCAGGGGCGTTGAGGTCAAGTAGTCCAGTGCTTACTTGACTGACAGTTTATTAGCTTTCCTCTTTTCTACCTCTTTCCTTCCCTCATCTTTAAAACCAACCAGAAAATTTCCCATCACAGTCTACAAGCCTACTTTTGGGAGAAGGGAAATGAAGATGAGGAGACTTAAAAATGGACCCCACAGGGACACTCTGAGGGTTTGTCTAAAAGGGGGCGACTGGCAGATACTATAAGCAAAAACACTAAGAGAAAAAAGACAAAGCTGTGCTGTCAATGGAGATGTACTGGCTCAAGAAAGCATAACAACCTGGAAAATTTTGTTTGTTTGAGACAGGATCTAGCTATGTAGCTTTGCCTGCCTCAGTCTCCAGAATCCAGGGATAACCTGGCAGAGAATCTGGAAGTTTTAGGGTTCTATGTACTGACGAGTGCTGCTACTGGTCCTCCCTATAAACTATCCTCCTCACCCAGGAGAGCTGCAAGACTCCCCAGCAGTCATGCAGGTTCAGAAGCTACCTGACCTTGCTTCCACTGTCGAATGACACATGCATGTGAAGCCATATGGAAACAATGGTACTACCACTCAAATAAGGAAAACGTGTGACATAAAGAACCAGGAGGTTTATTTAAAGAACCATTTCAGTTTAAGCGGGCTTGGGGGGGGGGGGGAGGAAGTGGGAGAGGGTGGGGAATACTAATCCAAACTGAGGATGAATGAAGCCTTATGGGGGAGGAGGCTTATGGAAAAGGGTAACGTCTAAAGATCGCATTTTCCAAAATAGACTAGAGAGAAGACAGTAGTAGACAGAGCAGCTCAGGGATACGTTTAGTAGGACCCTGTGAGCAATGGTCAGACTGGGATACTGATAGTAAGTGTGCACTGGTTCTGAATATGCTGATTAAAATGTTTCTAAAGAAACAGTCTGAAATAAAATCTATAAACTCATTGTACAGGAAGCTAGACAGGACAGGGTCAGTGCTATCCACTAATCCTGTTCCTTTATATACGTTTATTTATTGTCTGTCATGTGCATGCATCAGCATACATATGGGGTCAGCAGATAACTTGCAGGAGTTGGTTCTCTCCTTCTACTCTGTAGGTTCCAAAGATCAAAATCAGCTTCTCAGGCTTGGCAGTAAAAGTCTTTCCCTGCTGAGCCATCTCCCCTGCCCAGAATCCTGTTTATTCCAAAGTTCTTTGAGTAGCTTCACCTATAACCTAAAATTGCTTTCTATTTGACTGTGGCAATTAGGGGGCCACACTTCTGTATTTACATCCAGAGGGGAGGCTGTTGTATGTGGCAGGTTTCCTCTTTGCCAGAACACCAGAGCCCCTTTGTTTTTACTGGCTCAAAATCCTTTAAATTTGCTGCCTCTTATTTAATCATTTCCAAGAGAGAGTTACCAGTACTGGCTAAAGATTAAGCAGATCCCACCCTGACCTAGGAGTGGTATGTGGAACAGAAGAAGGGCAATAGATTCCTGATGAAAAGGGATGAGAACGGAGACTGAGTAGACAGGACTGGGATCAATGACACGGAGGGAAGAAAGGATGGAGTTTGCTATAACAGGTGGGGTATTTCAGAAAACAAAACATGGACAGATCTTATCATCTGGCCTTCAATAATTGGGTAGAAAAGGTGAGAAAGGCAAGACTGGGTGAAATAGTAAGTTTGAGGATAATCAAGGCTTCTGCTCTTTCATTTTCATCAAGTTAATTTGAAGATGCTCCCTCGTCAATGCAAAGACAATCAAGTTAGGAGATGGGAGTTAAGAATTCTAGCAACAGAAAAATAACTGGAAACAGGTCTGAAATCATACATGCATACATACATACAGTTCTGAAAGCACCTAACACCGGATGAGATGAACAGAAAAGACATGGATACAGAAAGGAAAAAAACTCAAGGCAGACTAGATGTAAGCTAGGATTTAGAGGTAAGTGCCTGAGAAGACACAGTAAGTGGCTGGAAGACCCAAAACCAATCTCTAACATGACATGACAGTGGACTGAGGATACTACAAATTGACAATGTTCTACCTAAAGCAGTGGTTCCCAACCTTCCTAATGCTGCAGTCCTTTAATACAGTTCCTCATGCTGTGGTGAGCCCAACCATAAATTATTTCCATTGCTACCTCATAACTTTAATTTTGCTAGTGTTAGGAATAGTAAATATCCATGTTTTCTGATGGTCCCAGGTGACCCCCATGAAAAATGGGTCATTCAAGCCCTAAAGGGGTCATGACCCAGAGGTTGAAGACCACTGGCCTAAAAGGAGGGATATATTGCTCCTGTTTACTTGGAAAGGGCAGGGTAGCATATGGTTTTCTCCTGGAATACAGTAAAAACTTACAAACTAAGACATAAAAAAGCAAATCCAAAGATGACCTGGAGGGGAGTGATTGCATGGCTTCCAAAATGAATGCTGAGCCCTGCAACTGAGGCTGACCTGCTTGAGGTGGAGTTTATACAGGGACATTTCCAACGGCTGCCTTTCCCCATGTGGTACAGGATAATGTGCTGAAGTAGGTGTTCCTGCTGAGGGGGGGATGTACAAGTTAAAGCCCTCAGAGAGTAGGGCATCCTAGGAAGATCCCCGTAGCTGTCTCCTCAGCATGCTGTGAGTAGGCCCTGCCAACAGGTTTCATTCTATGATGCAGAACCTTAAAACACCTTAGAGGTTTGGGAAAGCAGTTGGAAGGACAGTAAAAACAGCAATTAAGGCATCTGAAGCAGGACACTTAAGAGGGAAGGATATTCCCTGGAGCCATGCAGTTGCTGGTGAAAATCAAGAGCGCTAAAAGTGGGCCACCTCCCTACGGGTTAGCTACTGGCCACAAAGTCCCGATGAGCCAGAAACTGTCCCAGTTATTGCTAGTTGTGGGTTTAGACAATAATTCTCTACTACAGAAAATACTTCAGTTCATGGAGAAAGGAGGCTGGACCGAGCTGGAAGCACTCACCCGCTGGCTGACTTGCCAGCACAGGAGCTACCTGAACAGTACTTAAGTAACAGCCAGGCAGGGCACATCCATTGGGTAACAGACACCACTTTTGCAGAAAATACTAGCTCTATGTACATGGCATTTACTCTGTCCAAATTCTTTTTTGTTCTTTATTCCATTCCATCATTTGCCAGTTTCAATGAGTCCTGTTATACACCAAATTAAATCTCCCAAACAGTAGGCAGAGCAACAGTAATAATTTTCCAGAAACTCTGTGTGTGACATGAATTATGCAGTAGCTGAGAATACACCAATATTGCTAACGTATCCAGGACCCACTTTCCCAATTGTAACAGAAATATTCTTAAAACTGTGACCAAATAGCCAATGGACACTACCAACCATTAGGAAGATTACTGGCTCAGAACTAAGTAAATTACAGATTTAAAATGATTAATATTCTAAAACCACAGGTTTTGAAGACCCCCCTTATAAATAAATTTAGTAATGTTGCCTACACTATCAAAAGACAGAAGACATTAAAGTTTAAGGTGATGTAAATGAAGTATCTTATAAAACTGAACTGAGATTTCATTGATTTCAAGAAAGGTGCTGAGCTGGAGATCTGATGAATCACAACATCTGAGCCTCAATTAATATTAAAAAATGTTATAATGTGGACCTTTAGTATGTCAATACGTCTTTTGAAAACCATGAATATAAAGGAACAGAGGCAAAAGATCAAGACATCTGAACCAAAAAGATTAGATCAAAACATTTATTTATTTTGTTATAAAACAAAAATAAATCCAAGCAGATAATGAAATAACTTTAAAGTATCCCTTCCTTGCTCCCTGTCCTAGAATTTAGCCCACAGTCCATGTTGAGGTTCTTGCTTCCTGGATGCTATGACGTTTCCATCTTGTACCCGTGCTTCTCAAGCTCAGCACTGAAACACAAGACAAGGGCAGCATTAGCATTCCCTCTGAGAATTCAAAGACACAGCTGTTTCTAAGACAGAATAGAATAAATCAATTTAGATTGGGTCACTAACTTAGAACATTACCAAATTTATTTTAGTCTCTAAAATGAAACCATAAGAAGGAAATTGGGTATCAATCAATATAGTAATTAAAAAATTGTTTGTCGTATCATTACTTGTAATTTTCATTAATTTTCTCATATATGAACCTACTTATAGAATGAGACTTTTCTACTATTCTACAAGAACCTTACAAATATTATACTAATGTTCTATTTCTAATGTATATTTTAATATAGTGCAAACATACTTTTAGATTTATTTAAGTGTATGAATGCTTTGCCTACATGCATGTGCGTCCTGCCTGTGTGCTTACTGCACACAGAAATCAGGCGAGCGCTGAATGGTTGTAAGCCACCATGTGGGTGCTAGAAATTCACCTCAAGAGGAACAAGTGTCTACACCAGCGTGCACCATCTTCCCAACCCCGAACTATAAATTTCTGTTGCTCGTTTGTTTAGGTGGAGACAAGGACTGAGTCAGCGCCTCATGCATGCAGAGTCGGCACACTGCCTTCAGCAGTATCCTTAGATACTTCTGCTCTAAGAAAATTCTGAGCTCTACAAAGCTCATACCAGTATCAAAGTTTTACCAATGATGCAATCACCCCAAGCACAATACTGCTGCATACAGGAAGGACACTGGCCGCTGTCTAACAAATGGAGACCCGGATGCTCACGTGGAAAAGTGAGCTGCACCCACGTTACATGTTAAAATCCATTCAGGCTGAAGAAGAGCTAAGCTATAAAATTCTTCCACAAAGACACATGAATAAACCTTCCTTATCTGGAATTTGGTAATGAGTTTCTAAATCTGATACCCAACGTGTAAGTAACAATAAACAAACTTGATCACCAAAATTTAAAATTTTGCAATTAACAAATTAAAAAAGACAACCTAGCAGAATACCTAACAAGATCTTAATACCAAGAATATGCAAAGTAGGTCTCAATTCAACAACAAAAAAGAGGACTTGAATAGACTTCCCTCACCCCAAAAATACGTGTGGTCAAGAAGCACACTGGGAAATGAAAGCCCAAGTTCCAAGGAGACTGTGCTTCATGGCTTTCACTAAAACAATAATCGAACAATATTATATTTGTACATTGCTACTGGGAAACCTTTCCAGTGACTACAGACCTGTCTGACAGTTCTTCAAAATGTTAAAACAGAAAATTAGCATACAACCTAGAAATGTCACTTCATAGTCCCCAAACCTGAAAATACGTGCTCAAATACATGCACATATACATGCTCAAATACATGCACATATGGGTGAGTGTGCAGCATATACGGCATATAAAAAGTAGAAATGTCCACAAACTGACAAATACATAAAATGATATATCTTACATTAGAGAATTATTAAATTATGAAAAAGAATAATGTACTTCTATACACTACCATATTTTTTAATTTGGGAAAGATTATACTAAGAGGAAGAATGTGGATACACAAGTACATATCTTGTATAATAACATTTATATGAAATATCTAAAATAGGAAACTTGGGTGAATTTATTCTTGAATATATTAGGCCACTATACAACTCCAATCTCCAAATTTGAGGATCATTAAATCAAGCTGATGAGGGAGGGGGACTTGACTGGGGGAGGGGGAGGGAAATGGGAGGCGGTGGCAGGGAGGAGGCAGAAATCCTTAATAAATAAATTTATAAAAAAAAATAAATAAATGAGCTCCCCAATTAGATCTATGATTCTAATTTCGACCCAGTTATTCAATACTGGGTGAAAAAAAATGTTGACAGGATCAAGTTCATGAACAAGAGCAAATACGCTTTTATTTAACTACCTTCTTAGAAGGAACAAAAGGTGTATGCACTTTCCTGAAATACTCCTGTTTAGAAATCCAAAGGGTGAAGGAAATGTCTTATTTTACATAATGAAAAAACCATCTCAAAAGTTCTAAGAGGACAGCTATCTATGTACGCTGTACATTCCATGCTTAAAATTAATACTTATCTTTAATAAAAATCTGGCTGAAAACCTACCGTAACTGATTGGAGAAGTCATCTTCTACATTGTCATCATCCCAATTATCCTCCCAGACATGAGCATCTTCATCTTCATCTAAGCCAGCCCAGTCTAAAAATGGAAACAGATGCCTAAGTATTTCTCAAACATTATTTCCCAAAGTATAAAAGCTTCAGAGAATTTGCCATTAAATATCCTCACAACTCACAAAACAGCTAACACTGTTACCTAAGAAAAATTGTTATCTTCCTCTACAAATCTCGAATCTTTTGCTATCTTGTTCTCATTTTCTCCTGCTCAACAGGGCAGGGACACACAATGATTTTGTCAGCACACACCAGCCTCGTGCAAGCTCAAATCCCAGCATGGAGAAGGGATGTGGACCAAGTTCCTACGCCTAGCTAAGGAGCTACTGGCAACTGAGAGCTGCTCTGACAGCAAGCCTCCGTTTTTCTTTAAGACCCTACAGTAAGTGGATCAGGCTCCAGGGGAAGGCCACACATTCAGTATTATATATGGGAAGCACAGATTGGACTCGATGGATTGGGGGTTAAAAGACACAAAGTTGGGAGTGGGTAGCGAAGGGAGCAGAATCTGGGAGGAATTTTGGGGAAGAAGTGAATAGGATTAAAAGACACTGAATGGAATTCTCAAAGAACCAAAAGGAAACCAATTCAAATTATAACCCACCACTAAATGTCAGTAAATAAAAAGCAACATAAAATTTACAATTTTTTTAAGACAAGATTTCATACAAATCATGACTGGTGTTAAACTCACTGTGCAGGAGGATGGCCTTACATTATTGATCTTCCTGCTTCCATATTCCAACTACTAAGATTACAGATGCGCATCAGGAAGTCCCACTTGTCTTTTCCAGAAGGAAAACATAAATATGCACAGGGGAGAGTGGTGCTGTTCTACTTAATACGTTCTTTTCTTTTTCCTCCCTCCTTTGGCTTTAAAGGACAGACTTAGACAGCTAGATTTCAGCTTTCCTCAGAGAAAAACACGCGTGTAAATATCTCTAGACATTCTTGTAGAGGGTTAATATCTATAGAGGGTTGGAGAGGTTGCTCAGTAAAGTGTGCGAGCGTAAGGAACTGGGTTCAGATTCCCAGTACCCAGCGGGGCAGCTGCCTGCAATGGAAAAAGGTCCTGTGAGAGTTGATGGAGTTAGGAGAAAGACTGCTGACATTCACCTCTGGCCTCTGCACACATGTGTATACATATCCATATGTACGTATGCATACACACTTTTACAAAAATATCTACTGCTAAAATAATACCAACAGCACAAGCTCTAAAGCAACTCAGTAGTCAAGCGAAGGACTAATCAATTAGATAGCTTCATTACAAGCAAATATTTAGTTAATTAGTCAGAAAGAGTCATACAATGAAATATAAGGTACCCCAAATTTCCTTTCCTTTATGCTTTTGAACACTACCTCATGGAATGCCTGAATTAGAAACTGCATCTCTGATCTGCCCTTCCAAATACAGCTCCACTGTGGAACTATCCTTTACACCTTCTAATTCTACAAATAACTGACTCTAGACACAAATCCAACTTACTGGCCTAAAGAAGGAAAAGCACAGGAATCATTCTAAAATTTCTTTTTTATAGATACATCAAATTCTGCTTATTTAGCCCCTAAAATAATTCTCAAGTTGCTCTTTTATTCCTATGACCTTTAATCTAAAACAAACATCCACACTAGACACGGTAAGTCCCTACTGCTAAAGACACCATGCATTTGGGAAACATGGACCAGAGATTTTGAACTGGATGAGATCTGTAAGCCCCTGAGGACTAGATATCATGGTACCGGAAGGCACCATGCAAGCCTTCCGAAGGAAAGCAACCAACAACAGTCCTACCCAGCTATGGTGCCTCTGAACCACAATGATGAGCAGCATACTATACACTAACGTTGCAGTGGTGGCATGCATAGTTCGATGGAAAACCATTTATTCTCTAATTGGACTTAAGGCTTGCTGAATGGGGGGGGGAGGGGGGGAGGGGGCGGGAGGATCATACCTTGTATTGCAAATTTAGCCAACTACCCAGGACTAGTGATAGTGAGGTCATGGATCTTGGAGGAGGACCTATAGCTACTACTTTACTAAATCAGCACAACTGTTAACTACATTCTAAATATTTATCCATGTACCCACAGATAAGTTCTTACTCTTCGTCACGGAAATTTTGCTTTTCAATAGATGGAGACTATTACACAACTGATCAGATAGAAGTTGAGAAAGAACTGGGAGGAGTATAAGGAGGAGAAACCATAATCAGGATATATTATGTGTGAAAAAAAATCTATTTTCAATAAAGGGAGGAACAGCTATGAAGATTTAAATCTTATGACTTGAATTTGAAATATCTTATGTTTAAATGTTGGTGTGTGGCCTGTGACACTATTCTGAAGGCTGCAGAGCTTCTAGTAGGTAAGTCTGGCTGGTGTAAGCACATCACTAAGGGTAGATTTTGGAAGCTAGCCCAGTGGAGTTCTCTACCTTTTGTAATTACAATCAAGTGAACAAGCTCTACATCATGCATCAGGTGCCAGGCTCTCCCTGCTGTGATGGGCTGACATGTCCCTGAATCTGTGAGTCAGAATAAAATTTTCCTTCTGTAAGCTGCTCTGTCGATGCGGAAAAAATAACACAAATCTCAGAAAATAAATAACAAAGGTACAATTTAGGCTTTCTATGTACATATGTAATAGATTCAAAATATTCAACAGTAGTGTCCACAAGGGTATTTTATTACAGTTATATACTTAAATTTTTCTGGTGTAAAAATGGAAAGAAGAACCAGCAAAGAACAGAAATTTGGAAGGCATCTAAGCTAGTCTTCCTTCTTCAACTACCACAGTCACATCCTTCCCAGTTTCTTTGTTTTCCGAGACAGGGTTCCTCTATGTAGCTCTGGCTGTCCTAGAACACAGATATTCCAAGTGCTGGGACTAAAGGTGTGTGCCACCACCACAAAGCATTTTCCAGTTTTAATAACTAAATATTTAAAGTTATTTATCTTCTCCCTGCCCTAAATTCGACTAAGTTAATATGGGCGAGATTTCCTTCATGGACTATCACTGCATTATTAACGACACAGAGAAAACTATTACATGAAAGTGGCAACAGATGCTAAGATCGAATTTTATTTAAAACAGGAAGATCAAATCTGAAGCCATGCTCAACAGTGAGTGCTTATAGTTCTTTTAGAAGAGCCAAGTTTGGATTCCAGCACCCACAACTCATAACCAACAGAAACCCCAGCTCCAGGGAATCTGGCATCCTCTGTGGGCACCTACATGCATGTGGCGCCTATTTACACAGGCACATAATAAGAAGTAACTATGTTTAAAGATCTTCATTTCAGACAGTACATGTTTCTCTAAATCACCAGAGATCAATGCGATGGCTTTAATTTTTCAATTAAAATACAAGAAACCCTTAAAAAGCCTAGGTTCATGACTGTAAACCTTGTAGCAGAACAATTGGATTAATTATCCTATCGGCGGAAAGTATTCCTTTCCTCCATATTCCCTCTGGACTTACTAGTTTTCTGGCCATTCAGTAACTTAACTAATTCCCCCAAAAGAAATGGTAATGCTAAACCCTTTCTTACTAAAATTCAAAAGCGACTCCTTCATTAAACTGGCTTATAACAAATTTATAAAACAAGATTTTATAAAATGGTCAGGACATGACTATTTAAAAACTACTGATATCTGGAACTAGAAGGGTCTTAAAGATCACTCTACATTTCCCTTTTGGCTTGAGAATAATCATCACCACAATCAAAAGCAGATGAAAAGGCTGCCTCATCAAAAGATAGTCACTTAAGAATCAATCCCCATGCCTCTAGTCTTAAAATCCTGTTGTAAATAGGCTGTTTGGGTAGAGAACAGAAACAGGAAAGGTCAAAATCTGTTAATATACTTTTAGGAAATTTTATAAGTTATACGAAAGGGAGTTTAAAGTTTAAAAACAAAATTAGCCAAACAATAATATGAACAAAGACCTAACAGTTTTTGAGAAAATGGGGGTGATCTGTCACTAAAACCACATGGTAGAATCTGCAAGGCACTGAAACAACAGGCCTGAAACACTTCCAACTAAATAATTTCCTATTAAGTGAGTGGTTTCCATTCGCACCAGTCCCTAAAAAGGAAATGATCATGTGTGGAAAGAGGCAAGTTAAAAACATAAAAAAATAAAAATATAATACTTTTTGGAGAAAGCTTATGAAGTCTTTTAAGAACACTGCAAAACCTTAATTGTCTTCTGAAGCAATTGCCTTTTTAGAAACACGAAAATTATAGGGTTCCAGAAACTTTTAATCTAAATTATTATTTGATTCAAAATGTTGATTTCAATATTGTTATTACTTGGTGTCATTCAAATGTCTCCATGATGGTTTTACTTCTTTTAATTTTGTGAGGGAAAAGCTTGTTAATTTGTAACCAAATGCTGCAGAAAATCAGCGGCAAGAAACATGACTGAGTCAGTGATTTGTTTTATGAAGTGCAATGCTTCTCTAAAAAAGGCAAACTTCTTACCCTATGTGTCTTTTTCTTTAGGATGATGTAGTTTCTAATGTAGCAAACTGAGTAAGAAGAGCACTTGGCTTAAGAATAAAGCACCTACCTCTCCCTTCTTTAAACAGGCACCTCATGCTTTAGTAGGACAAAGAGGAAAGGGCAGAAATACAGTTCTTCGGAAAAGAAACTGTCTCAAAAGCAAGGAAGGCTTGAGGATTCATGAAAGCAGCTGTTTCCTTGGTGATTTATGTGCGCGGGTGCACATGCCATGGGATACATGTGGAGGCCATAAGACTACTCACAGAAGTTGGCTTTCTCCTTCTCCCATGTCAGGCTGTCAGGCATGGTGGCAAATGCCACTCACAGACCTAGCTAGCTACCATGTCAGCTCATTCCTTGGTATCCTTTCCTCTGAAAATGTAAGCCCCCCCCCACCCCAATTTAATGTTTTTCCTTCATAAGAGTGTCATGGTCAAAATGTCTCATCACAGCAATAGAAATCCTAACTAAAACAGATGCATTATTAATGTCTAACGATGTCCTTTAATATATAAA